GTACTGGAGTGATGCACAGTGACTGATGGGTATATTTCGCTCTTCACGTCCTGTAATGTATCAATGTTCCCTGTTTCCTATGCCATTCGCAGTGCCCTTTGAACTGAATATGCACATTAGGCCATAAAGACGAGTATAGTATGTAAAATGCATAAATAACAGTATGTAAAAATGACAATAACATTATGGTAATGTTGTAACTTCTGATCATGTGTCTCTTGATCTTTCATACAGATATTGAACTTGAACTTAAAGGTAATATTGAAGGAGATATTGAACTTAAAGGTAAGCAATATGTTTTCAACTACAAAGTGGCAAATCAGTCTGGCAATAATACAAAATATAAAATAATTAATAACTGCTTAAACATGAATGAAATTAAGCCAAAGCTGCATCATCATGATGTTATTTTGCAGATTATGATACAGCACATGACTCCGACTATGACTACAACATTCATTATGAGTCATGTGAGTTTAAAACATTACGAATCTCTGCTCAGTCTATTTTTTTTCCCGCTACTTGAGATTATTGTTATGTCCGTTTTTGGATTTGTTCATTATTCTTTCAGATTCAGATGGTGAGGTTGCTGGTAAGCACTTCATTTATAATTTCACAACCTGCTTTACTGTACATGCAATAATAAATCTTTATAAATGTGGTGTAATATTAACCTTTTAAATGCTTTTAGCCGAAGCAGCACATTTTATGCGTCTTAATTGTTTCAACAGACCCAGACAACCCATCCAGTTTAAGTTCAGTTAGAGTCTTCTCCTCATCAGGTATGTACTCCGGGACATAATATTTCATGAAATTCCTTTCTTCCTTTAGCCATTTTGCGCATTTGAAGATGAATACAAGATTTTAACCACATAGAAGGGATACACTAATATACTTCAGTGTTTTTTGTCTTTGAAAGTGGATGGAGACCCACATTTTGTTGTTCAGCTCCCAAAGCTGCATCAGAACTTGTGTTTTACCATTGATGGCAGGGCTAATGATGTACTACGGCTTCTTGAGGACCCAGACAAAGGTGGTTTTATGAATTTTACATCCAATATATAGCTTGAATGTCTTTATGGAAACTAAACAAGATTAAATTAAATGAGATGCTATTTAGATATTCTTTTAACATAATAAATGTCTCTTATTCCTGTTTTATGACTCATACCATTAGGAATGATTGTGGATGGGCATTTAATAATGGCTCCTTCTAAGGAGGGGATGAAGAATCGTACTCGTACATTCTTCGACAGGATTTCTATCACTGCTGCCAAAGGTGCCGTTATGATCACTTTAACACTGGACTCAGTGGTAGTGGAGGCAGAAGGGAAGGAAATCGAGACGCTTCCTACCAATCAGAGAGGATCTGTGGAGCGACATAGTTTGAGAATCACTGTTGAAGAGCACCATAGCTGCTGGATTGAGCTCGGAGATGGTGTGCGGTTCCTAATTCTCTTCCATCGTTACAACCATCCCAAATACTTTCAAATGGAGCACCTGGGCTTCTATATTGCTAATGGAAAGGGTCTCTCTCACCTCACTCAAGGGCTGTTGGGTAGGTAACACAGCATTTTGTTTTTAATCTTATTTAGTGAGACGTCATATGGATTTTCAGACTGATCTGATGACCTTGTTTTGGTGTTTTCTTCCACTTCCAGGCCAATTTCAACATACCCATATAGAGGTCATAAAGGCAACGGATCAAACGGGTTTCCATCATGCACAAACAAATAAGAACACTTCGCTGGCCATGGGATGGATAAAGAAAGGAGATGAGCATTTTCCTGTCACTCTACAAGACAAGAATCTGAAGGACTCATCCAGGAAGCGTCACTCAGCTCAATGTTGGGTAGTGCCGCAGGTGGATGTAGAGAGACTTCTGGGCCAGTCCTACGAGAGCTATGTTGTGGATCACCAATAGATAACCATCATACCATATTTCTACATCTACAGAATTACAAAAGGTACAGAAAAGACACTGGAACTTGAATCTTGTGCTATTAGACAGTGCAAACAAACATGTGATCGGGAATAAAACAGAGACTACGAATATATGCATTTGAACATAATTGTAAACTACCTTTCAAAAGTTTAGGGTCAGTAAGATTTTATTTATTTTTTCTTAAAGCTGCAGTCCGTAGCTTTTTTTGGGTAAAAAATTATCCAGAATACATATTTGAGAAAATGCATAACCAGCCAGTGTTCAAAACTATCTGCTTGCCTTAGCTCGATTCAAACCGGTAAGCTTGTAATAATGTTTTTAATTTCAGTAGTACTGATGGATTTTTGCAGGAGATTCGAGCATGTCTTTGCGTCATTACGTCACATCTGTACACATAAAGAAGGAGTCTCAGCTAGTATAAGCTATATTGCGTGTGAGGATGTTGGAGGTGGAGATTTATAGCCTTTTCTCACAGCACTTGATTTAATTAAACTTATCAATTTGATGGCGGATCCAGAAAGGTTCAAACGACAATCACCAGTGACAACTGGAGACTCACCCGTTGTAAAATGCAAAAGACTTTGTTCGGACTTCGGAGCGGCTAACTTACAGAAAAAAAGAGACTACAACCGGACCCATGCAAAAACAAGGATACATATCGGAAGGACATTACATGTAGTCACGCAATGCTGACGTTAACATTAACAATTTGAGAAAAAGTATAATTCGCACGGTTTTGCGTGATATGATAACTTATAAGCGATTGTTAGATTTAATCAGCGCGATTTACTGCAATGTCAGAACCAGAACAAAAGTGGATGTTACTTACTTGTTCAGATGACATTTTCCGGTGAAAATTATTATGTTGGTCATACTTCCAAAAAGAATAATCTGTGATTCTGAATGCCAGTATCCACACTGGCGCGGTGACTGACAGCCGCACACTCTCCTCAAACATTGTGTTCATCCGCGCTGTGCCGTGTCGAACAACTTGCGTAAAGTTGATAATTCTGCGAATAACTGCAATTGCAGATTTCGAACAGAGATGGCGACAAAGAGTAAAAGCTGCGGACTGCAGCTTTAAAGAAGTGAACATGTTTATTCTGCAAAGATGCATTCAACAAAAATATTACAAAAACATAATGTTCTTTTGAATTTTTTAGTCATCAAAGAATCCTAATTAAAAAGTATCACAACTGACACTGATGTTTCTAGCACATCAAATCAGCATATTATAATGATTTCTGAAGGATCTTGTGACACTGAAGACTGGAGTAATGATGCTGAAAATCTTACCAACCCCAAACTTTTGAATTGTTGTGTATATCAGTGCCTTTTTATCATGAAATTAACCCCTTCAAATTTAATAAATGTATTAAATATTAGCTTTGGGAAGAGATTATTGCAGAATGATCAAATATTTTTCTAAGCTTCCAGTTAGTTTGCATAAATATATGTATATGCATCCATTTAAAATAATATGAGAGAATTGTGATTTTAAAATATTTTTACATTATTAATGAGTATTGAATGCTTTACTTTGTCCTGTAAGGAAAAGGAAATCCTTCATATGTGCAAATAATCAAACATAACCAAAGAAAGATTTGTTTTATTCATATTTATTTTTGTTGCACAAGACTGCTCAAACACGAGATGAAATTCACAACTTAAAATCGTCGAGTTTGTGTGTCAGTTTTTTTTTAAAGATGTTTAGTTGTTTCAACATTGAAAATGAAAGACAAAATGAAAATAAATACAGTACAAAACAGTTAATCCAAACATATGCAACAATATGCTGGAGAGGTGCAAAAGATAACAAATATAGCAATGCAGCGTAATTCTATTTAATTCCAGTTATCAATAATTCACAATCTAATTTGTGCACTAAGGAAGAGAGTTCAAGACCTGTATGCTTCTATGTGAATCTATAAGGCCATAAGTGACTTTGGCCCAATAAACTTCAGGAATGTTAAAAAACTGTCACACTCCTTGTTTTCCATTAAAAATAAAAAAGGGAAAAAAACTAGCGTCAGAGGCTTTTTTCTCAGCAAAGGCGAATATGGAAAAAAACATGACAATGCTTGTAAATTCTACACTGAAAGCTGTATGGTGAGAATTCAAACAGCACACCATGATCATCTGGTCCAGACTAGTGTCTACTATAACTATTCATGGCAATTCAACTCATTTTGAAACAAAAACGGGCATGATTAGAGATATACCGTAAGTAATGGTGAAAATGACCAGTCAGTTTGTCTTGTGGTTTCAAATAGCCAAGTGTAAATGCAGAGACTACATGTGTCAATCGCTGATAAAATGGAAGATAAATCTAAGATGCAGAGGAAAGCTTAACAGTACACGGAGAAATCCATAGTGTTCATCACAATCAAAAGTTAAAGTATGTATGTAGTATTTAGTTGACTGAGTCAGACTGGTTTACAAAAGCCAGAAAACCAACGGGATATGGCTACTATCAATAACAAAAGATCTGATACTTATTAAATTCACATTATCATTTACTTCTGCAGCTGTGGAAGTGAAAATTGCTTCCACATTCTTAAGACTCATTTCCCGTAACAAACTAAGTGATCGACTTGTTATGCATTTTCGCACACATTTGCGTTCGATAACATCGGTTTTCACTACAAACAAAATGAATGCAGGAGGATGAGGAATGTAGAATTAGGTCATTAGAAATTCTGAGGCCATACAATATTTTTAACATCGTAATGTTAGTTACAAGTTAATGGCTTACAATTCACTTCTATACTGCATATTATACATCTCATTCAATTTAGTTGAATATCCACCAATAATAATACAAAATAATTAAATAACTTAAAAGACCAATGAGTTGTAGAGCAGAAGGATGAGGAATAGGAAATGTAGTGATATGAGACTGTCAGTTCAGTTTTTGATTGCTAGATGTGGCAAAGTCAGATTTAATTTCGTACAACCTTATGCATTTTTACATACTATCAATATCATATTACATCCTTTGTCCAAGTGTCAAAATGTAGTGTTTAATGGTGAGCGTTTAATAATCTTACTATACTTTTGTCAGTGACACTTTCCTAAAGAACAGGAAGGCTGCTGTTCACATGAAGCTGTTAAATGTCAAAGTGACGACAGTATGCTATCTAACAGTCTGAGGACTGTTGGGGATACATCACGAAAGTGGAAGAGAAAATGTTTTAAATCTCCTTCAATATTCAAGGAATCGTTCACATGTATGGGCTTCAGTCAAAGACGATATTCAGAGAACAAAAAGACACGTGTTTCACTTCAACAGGATATTTTGCGCAAACGATGCATACTGCTTGTGTAAGAATCTAAAGTAGCATGTTGGTGTGAGCCCACTTTGTAGTGCAGAGTTGTGGAATGTGAGCGATAGAGCGTTTGTGTGTCTGTGTGCTGTAATAGTATCTGAACAGAGACACCGAAGGGGTGTGGAGACAATGAGCAAAGAGCACTCTGGGAAAGATAAGGCTGGTTGAAAGAGATTTACAACGTCGTTGCATTGTCGATTCTGTTCTGCGTGACCTCTGAACCCAGCCCAGTAAATCCCGTTCAGCCCGCCCCATCTCTGCCCTCCATCTGAACATTGCCTCTCCACTCCTCTGTCACTTCTCCACCCCTCACTGCTCGTCCTCGCCGAAGACGTCGTTCTGTTTACGCTTCATGTTCTCAAAGTCGAAGTCACTGCCTGTCATCCGCTTGTAGATGTCCTTGATGTCGTTACAAGTTGTTTCAAAATGAGTGGTGGCATCGTAGGACCGGGATGCAAATATCTGGAGAAATGACATCAAAACTGGTTATATTTCTGACTGATGCCAAGAAGTGCACAAGAATTTAAACAAGAAATTACTGTAACGTTTTGTTACTGTTATCTAAAACTATTAAATTCGTTTTCATTAACTGAAATAAAATCAAATATATTTTATGGAAAAACTTGGAAATGTTTTCTTGTAAACTAACTGAAATGAAATTGATTTAAGATTTTAGATTTGATTTAAGATTTAAGTACTAAAATGACTAAAACTAAAATCAAAATAAATATTTTTTTATGACAAAAGCACATAAAATGACTAAAACTAAACTAAAATATAATATTTGTTCACTTTTTGAACGTGCTTTTTATTTTTATAATAGTATATAAAGAATATTAAAATAACACCGCGTGAAGCTGACCTGACTGTCTGTCCCATCATCTGTGGGTTCATACATGTCACTGATGGCCACAAACCTGTAAAAATGACAAAATAATAATACAAAAAATCATTGCATTTAATGACTGCAGTGCAGCCATGAGTGAGGAGTGTATTTAAAATATTATTTGATATTAACTGTTATTAAAAGATTTTGTAGACTATAATTTACAAAACTGTGTAAAATCAATATCACACTTGCAGCTGTGCTGTGGAACTGAATATTAGTGCTTAAGTTAATAATGTTGTTTGTTTTTTTACTATAAAACAGAGAATAGAAAGCAAGGTAAACTGACTTTTGGTCAATGGGCTCGATGAGTTCCAGAGCAGGTTCGATTTCAGCTTCAGGATCAGAGGTTTCCACAGTGGTGCTTACGATGGCAATGTATTTCCCCTGAGCCGCCACGTTATGGGCGTAGGAGATCATGCAAACATAGATATCTACATGCAAATAACAACAAAATAAGCGTGAGCTTTTCATGACATAAGCAGCTCAGCTTATTTTTGAAATGAAAGTAAGCAGCACCCTCTAGTGGTGTCTGCACAGTAGTGCATACCTGAATGCATATACATCTTTGTTTATCCTGCAAATCATTCTATGCAAATATTCCCATTTTATACAAATACCACAAGAATCAACAAGTGCTGTCACAAACCTGATTTGCGGTTAACCTGGTTCTGAGGGATGATGATCTGGCAGGAATTGGCATCATTAGTGTTTTTAATGGGATGGCTGAGGACGCAGATGACCCGGATCACCTGGCCTACTTTGTGCACACGGTCCGCTATGTAGCTTGGGTCACAGATGAGCTGTTTGCATCGGGCAACCTTGGAAAAGAAAATTCAAACATAAATTGTGTCTCAAACTTTTCCAAAGAAAATCCTCGCATTATCACTTTGTAATAATAAATTATTTTATTTTATTATTTTTTTCCAATAAAAGAAGTTTGTTATATCCAAGTGGGCCGCACACATCCTGAAAAGTGAAGCCAAAACATTTTTGATCGCCCCGTAGTGGCTGGCTGCAGTATAGGTCATAAACTCCGCCCTCTCCATGTAAACGACTGGGACATGAGACAAACTTAAAAACAAAAATTGCACTTCAAATACATTTTTTTTTGTCATTTTAGGTAGTTCTTATGACGCTGATATATGTTGAAATGTTCGTTTTAGTTAGTTATTTGATGCTATAAAAATGAGATGTAGCGTCATGATTGACAGATTTGCTTGCGATTGAGTCTGCGGGAGTTTGGGCGGGACCTTGATACCGCGGCTCCACCTCACGATCGCTACGGCACAGACTCTGGCTCCAAATGATGTCATCAGCACAAGATGGCAGCTGCCATTTCTGGGACATTTTGGCTTTATTTTTCTACAGTGGAAGGAAGTGAAGACATGTCGTCTTTACAGTTTATGGTCATATCCCACTTCAAAAACAAAACAAAAAAAGTACCTCTCCTTCTGATTTCACGCCCACCACATGTCCTCCCTCCATCACTATCTCATCCACTGGTTTGTTCAGCATGTATGTTCCTCCATAAATAGCACTTAACCTGTAAGTTCAAAAAGCCCATGTTTAAAACATAAGGGCTTCACAGTGACACTCAACATGATTACTTGAGAATGATTGGGTGTGGGAGGGGCCACTAACCTAGCAAACCCCTGAGGCAGCTCCCCCAATCCGTACAGGGGGTACAGGTAGGGGCTCTTTCCGTAACGTGCCAGAGATTCACTGTAGAGTTTGATCCTATTGATGGTCTCCAGACACGGCTGCTCCAGGTAACTAGGAGAAATTCAATTCAATACATTTATCATCAATGCAAACTAATGCATTGTTATTTGTTGACATTAAGGCAAGACACAACAGGTGAATGAATAATAGATAACACCTTACTTCCCCTGTTGCTTAATCACTGTACAGTACTGCTTAGTATTTTTTTGGTTGACATTAGAGTTAAAGGTTTTTACAGAGGGGATTTTAGATGTATCGTTTTAATGACTCTATAAATAAGAAAATACTGAAAAAAAAGAAAGAAAATAAATCACCATCACTGCATCCAATATCGCGTACTGTCTGAGTAGGTACTACATTTGAATTTACTGCGCAAGCATTAAAAAAGTATGTTCTATATGAATGAAATTCAGACATACTACATTCACCATATTGTTACTGTCATGTGACCTACCAGCTTCAGCTGCGATGATTCACTTCCATTCATAAATCCCCTCCAGTGGCCTCATGGTATAGTAAAGTGTCCATCGAATGACACCTCAGAATCTTACTGTAAGTAGTAGCTCATCCGGGGACTAATCGCTTACTGTTTGTCGAATACTATATAGTAGGGAAGTTTTAAAAGAATGTATGTGTGTGTTTGTATTTTAATATGTTAGTGTGTCTTTAAGGAGATTTTAACTCTCCTGCCAGGCTGTTGTTGAAAATAAGAACTTGTTCTAAATAAAGGTCAATAATAATTCGATTTCGGACGCAGCGCATTTTTTAAGGAATAAAATGTTAAATAAATCAGGCAAATGATATAAGACCCCTCTCTAAAAACCTTTCAGAATATAGATAGGAATACAAATGGCCTTTAATAGATCTGTTGTTATTAAAATCTTCAGACACAAACAAATGAAGTGTAGTGAAAAACTTAAATGTGTAAAACAATGGTTATGCCTGTAGCGTGTTGCTTTAAATAATATGTTTTATAAGACTCTTATACACTATGAGGTTTTGTAACACTGGCGACACTTACTCATCTGTCCTGTAGAGGGCCAGGGCATGTCCCGTGAAGTCTACGACGTCCTGTCCTAAGTCAAACTTCTTGTACACTTCTCCCATTGTTGTAAGTTTGGGATCGACACCCTCAAAGGTCTTGGGGTCGTTCTCATCAAAGTTGGCCACAAAAACTAGGAACTTCCGGAAACGTCTCTTCTCAAACATTCCCATTAGGTCTAAGCAACACATGTTTTGTGTCATCTATACAAGTCTGTATATAAATTCTTGATTTATTCCTACAGTTAAAATGCTAAACTGTAAAAAAAAACTTTTTCGAAGTTATAAATAAAAGATTATTGGAGTACGTTTGACAAGAAAATACTATTTCAGTCTTTCTACTTCAAAATTTCATTTCAATTCAGTGTGTTACTTGCCGTTTCTTTTGTAATTATTTATTCATTTACAAGCAATATCTGAGTAAAAAAAAATTCTTTCCAGTGTAGCTGTACTTACTTGAAGCCAGTGCCTCTGTCTCAGTAGAGGGCACTTTGTAGATTTTTCCCCCTTTATACACGAAGCTTCCCTCAACCACTTTGAAGTCAAGATATCTGGTCACTTCAGTGTATAGAAGCATCTTAACTAACTGACCTTAAGGAAGATAACAATGACAAAATGTGATTGTGCATCATTATTCAGAAAGCTAGCTGTTACAGAAAAATTACAAAATTCCATGAATTAAGGGGCAACAATCTAATCCCAAAACATGTTTCGAACAATATTCTCACACCAACAATTATGCTACTTAAGTATTTTTTACCATTGGCCATTAAGAATTTAGGAATAAGGTCCACATTCCAGTCTCTTCCTCGGCCCATTGACTCTGGGGGGCTGTCTGAAATTCCAAATCTCTTATAGAGCTGAGAAACAAAAGCATGTAAAATGTGAGTGCATGCATAAAAAACAAGGATAAATGCAACATTTAAATATCATATGATAATATTTTTGAAGAGGGTGTCCATTAATAGATTTTTTAAAAATAAGTACATATTATTCATTTTTTATATACATTTAAAATGAATATAAATATTTATATTAACATAGAATATTAATTTATGTAACAACAATACACAGATTTTTATTATACTTTTATTCTTCAACAAAAACATTTCATAGTTAATGTGTGTAAAATCAAGCAGACACGAAATAAGTAATAAATGACTGTGAAACATCCTCACCTCCTCCAGGGGTGTGATAGAGGAACTTTCACCACCGTAGTATGGATTTCTGTCCATATGCAAAACTTTCTTCCCATTCACGGACATGATCCCAGAGAGAATACATTCCTACACAAATTAACATCATTCAGTTGAAATAATCTGTGATGGATATATATATATATATATATATATATATATATATATATATATATATATTTTTATTCTATTAATCTGCTGAGATGGGCCCCGGTATCTAGCCTTGACTTCCGCGTTGAACACTGGGATGCGAGTCACCCGGAGTCACCCCACCCATCTAGTGATAGAAAGTCCGAGTCATTTCCACGAATCGGTTCCTGTGAACAGTCCTCGGTGTAATGAAGCGGTTCGCAAACCGAATTATTCTATGATTCGTTTACGTCATTCTGACATCCTGGCGGGGCCAATTTCGTGAAATTAGATAATTGTAATTTTCAGAGTTCCAGTTCAGTTTGTTCCAGTCGTGAAAAATAATCTAGAACCTAAATATGATCGATATTTACATTAAACAGGCTACTATAATTTACATCTTGGCTGAAAAAGTTATAAATCCAATTCTTTGTGTGCTAAAACTATCATATAATCAAGTCGTAAACATATTACCAGTACGTATTTCAAAAAATTATCGGCTGTTAATGATTCGATAACTGAGGAACCCCTCGGGTAGATTAATTGAAAAGATTCGACTCAAAAGAACAATTCGTTGCCGAATCGGACACCGCTACACCCATCCAGCCACGAGCCGCAGCCCAGATCAGCCCACAATCCTCCATGAGAAAAATAGAGAAACGTATAATGTAAAAACACTTCTGGTTTTTATCGTTCTTTTGATTAGTAGTAATGCTGCTTTTTGCACCTATTTTTCCAATATCAAGTTCTCGTGTCTTTTCAATTTGACCCTTTAAAATATATCAATTACAAAAAAATTCACTAAACCCTGTCCAAAAGGGATGAATTGCAAGCAACCTGTGAACTAACATCAGTTAAGCACAATACAGCTTCGTCGCGGCGTTGGCGACCCGTAAAAGGAGAAATATATGCTATAAACACATTATGTTCCCCTCTTTCGACGCACGAGCAAATGGGATACCTGATGCCACTCCTTGGAACCAGACACTGAGACGAGAATCAGTCATTACTTTTTAATCACCGCTGTCATGTCAATGTAATGATGCAGCCGCAATGGCTTTGAAATTTCGGGGGAAGATGTAATTGGTAAGGATTGCACTTGTATACAGGTAGAAATTACAATAAATGCTGGATCATTATTACACACACAGTATACTGGTCCAAAGGATGCGTCAGCAATAGGCCCTCGGGTTCAATCTAACGCAAAGCATATATTCCTACAGTCACATCTCTGATAACAGCATTATAAGCATACGAGCATCAATCGACAATATCGTCATCTGTTTCATCTGAGTCATTAGTGACCTGAATGCGTTACTCACTGTGAGTCCGGTGCCCAATACGATAACATCATATTCCTCATCCATGTTGTATTACAGTGGATCTCCCTTCTTTAGCCAAATTTCCGCTGCAAAAAAAATCTGCAAAACGGTGTTGATGCAATGAAATATTTATGCAGAATCAGTCTGTTGTCCTATTGCCGACAGTAAAACGAACTCTTTGCAAACAGTTATCGCTCGAATGATTTGATACGTATCACAATTGTTCACTGACTGTGGTGCGAGTCGCGACCGGCGAGAACAACCAAAGATGGCCCTGACCGCAGTACGGGCTCCAGCGGTGCGGAGACATTCGCAAAATAATATAGTGCACCTCCCAAAACGGAGATGATCACTGTTGTTCTGAATGTCATCAACCCACAATTACAAATCAGCCACAAGTACAAGTGCTTCAAATATATTAGCGATAATTCAAATCCCGGGTAGTCTTAAGTTATTTCATTTGCATGTACCCATCCTACAGCTGAATGGCACAGGGCGCAGTCACATTATCAGATATCCCTCCGCCAACAACACTGAGGATGAAGATTTTCTTAATAACGCGTGAATTACAGTTAAGTGCTGATGATAAAGATAGATGAGAGCTGTTTTTAGTGCTAAGGAAACGCAAATTAATGTTCTATATTAATGTTCATAGTAATAAGTGATCTGTTAAGATAAGCTTGATTAAAATGGAAATATATATGACAGAGGCTGTCATATTTCAGCCCAATAAAGCGGTCCTGAAAGTACAGTGTCGTCCTTTTGCACTCCAGGTGAAAAATAGCGAGGGCTGACCAAGATTGATTCCTACAGTAAAAGAGATCGTGCAGTTTGAATAACTTTATGATAAATAATACAAAGATAACATTTTTGATAAATAAATAGTTTACAATGTGGTCAACCTTTTTTTTTTTATACAGTCCATGGGTCAACCTAACAATTTATTTTACAATGTACAGCGGGGCACTGCAGCTTCTCTTTCTGAAGATAGATAGATAGATAGATAGATAGATAGATAGATAGATAGATAGATAGATAGATAGATAGATAGATAGATAGATAGATAGATAGATAGATAGATAGATAGATAGATAGATAAAAGTTAAGGATCAAGTTAAATGAATGACTGTACAGTGGTTGTATTCTTTTTCCTTTTCAAAAACGTTGCCCTAGTAAATAATACAAATATATTTATCCATGAGATCATCTTGCGCCGGCGCGCTGCTCAGAGACGAGAACGAATCATAGGAACGAATCGAGTCAGAAGGGAATCACATGATTGAAGGAAAAAACACAGTCACGTGATCATCAGCGCTCTGCCATTCACGTGACTCTCCTGAATAATGACGGAAGTAGGAGTGCAGCGTAGTAGTCTCTCGACAATGGCCTCTACTTCAGTTTTATTATTTATCTTTTCGATTTATAGCTGTTATGCTCAAGTGCCTCTGCTCATGTGGACCAGTGATGGGTACGTGACACGTTTGTTTCTTGAATATTGCTTTTACATTGTTAAATAGTAGCTACACCAGAACATTGCTGTGGCTTTCTTATTTATGTTCAGGCAGCTGAATCAGCTTACACTACAGTGACTTGGTAGACTGTCGATAAATTGGAAACAAAGCGCTTGGTAGAGGCTGATTACTGTGTACAAAGTTTCATGTCATCCTGTTTCTGTTGAGAACGTTTGCAAACTGAATGATATCTTTGTCAATACAGCTACAGTATGCCACATCTGGCTCAACCAGCAGCTGGTCAGGCTGTGTCTGGTGGGCAGCTGTTGTCTTATCTGAAATCTGCCTTGTCCACTGCTCCTCACAATGTGCTGCTCTTCTTACAGGATCAGGTAAAAAGGCTTCATATTAATGCCACCCTAATGCATTCTTGTGTTTTTATCTGCTTTTAGAGATAAAGTGGAATATAAAAACAGTTTACTGTGTGATCAATGTAGGAGCAATGTATTTTACATTGCGGAATTATTAGTAAAGCAGCTTCTTCCTCTAATTCTGATATTTTTACTCTCGTTGATACTGGACTTGTCAGTATAGTGTGACTTTGAGCCACAGTCTTACTTCCCCATCCATCTTCCCTTGGACATGCCAGTATTTCATTACAGTACAAATGTGATCAATTGTGCATTGACATGACAACATTTATTTTGCATTATTGCAATATTAAACCCCAGAGAGTTGAAACATTGGCTTAAACAAGTGTGATTGGTAGATATTATCAGTGTATATGTAATCCGAGTCAGTGTCGTTATTGAAAAAAAAAAAGTAGTTTTCAATGACAAGACTATACATATATAAAACACGTTTTTGGTAGTTGAAATAAAAGTAAAATAGCTGCCAAAACATTTTTAATTTTCTTTTAAATACTAAAAGTACTAAAAAAAACACAAAAAAAAACAACAACAAAAAAACGTATAATATACCAAAACGACAAAAGGACATACCAAAATTAGTACAAATGAAACTAATAAAAAATTAAAAACTTATTATAGAAAAACAGAATTAAAAATATTAATTAATAGTATATAAATAATAATTGAATCCATTTATGCCATGTACTGTAACAACTGACTCTTGTTGCCTGCTCTCCCCACGTTAGCTAAGTATAGATGACTTCACCATGTACGGTGGAGTTTTTGGGAACAAACAAGACAGTGTCTTTTTAAATGTAGAGGTGGGTGTGCCCTTTATATTTTTTAAATCCTCAAAATATATCACATCTAGATTTTTCTCTAAAATTCTCTTTTAAAACTTTTCTCTCTTGGTATTCAAGTCAGCACTTCAGACATCCTCCAGTTCTCTGATGCTGCCAGCCCTGGACTGGTCTGCATCGGATTCAGTCCTGGAACTATTCCAGGGAGAGCTGGGTATCCCAGCAGTCCACATCAACCCAAGCACCCTAAAGGAAATCAAGCTGAACACCGCACAGCCTTCACTGCTGGTTGTCCATCTCCCTTACACTGCTGGGTAAGATGTTCTGTAATGCTATTTCTATTACATACACAGTTTCTTGCAAAAGTGTTTTTTTACGCTACATATTACATTTTTTACGCTACTTTTTCCAAAAAGAATCGATACTTAAAAAAAAGAAAAAAGTATTGATTATTTTTGGAAAAAGTAGCGTAAAAAATGTAATTATACATTTGTTACAGTGTTATTATACATTTATTACAGTGTTATTATACATTTATTACAGAGTTATTATACATTTATTACAGTGTTATTATACGTTTATTTTAAAATGTAGCGATTCACTACTTCTGAAAAAGTATCAATTCTTTTATGAAAAAGTAGCGATTCTTTTATGAAAAAGTAGCGATTCTTTTTGAAAAAAGTAGCGTAAAAATGTAATTATACATTTGTTACAGTGTTATTATACATTTATTACAATGTAATTATACGTTTATTATAAAAAGTAGCAATTCACTACTTTCGAAAAAAGTAGCAATTCATTTTTGAAAAAGTAGCGATTTAACTGAATCTCAGTCAGTCAGCTACACTGTTTAATTCTGAATATTATATTTTATTCTGGTCCGCTTAACGTTATAGTTTTCTCAGAGTTTAGGCTCCTGTGTAATTGTAGCCTAGGCTATTCAGCAACTCAAACATACCAAGCCAACAATTACTAAAAACACACAAAAACTGATTTTGCACGGGCATTGCACTAGTATAAATAAATACTATAATAGTATATAAATAATAAGAAAATAACACTTTGACTTTGCTTTGTTGAAATATCAGGGCTCAATCAAAGGAATTGCTTTTGAAAAATGGTGAGTAATTATGTTTCTTTTTTGATAATTATTTTAATATATATATATATTGCTTTTAATGTTTTAATTCTAACTTGATGCCATGTGTTCATCAGCATTGCTGTACTATAGTATATAATATTTGTTTTCTTTTCTTTTAGATGAGATCATTGGAAAGGTCGTTGACCTGTTCAAATCTCAGGACGTGCCTTACACCGCTGTATACACCGGCCTCAAGCCCTCCAGAGTAAGTCATCACATTTACATTTATTCATTTAGCAGATGCTTTTATCTAAATGAGGAACATCACAAGGACAAAGTTAGTATGTACTGCACTTTTGTCTATTTGTTCTCTCACACTATAGGGCTTTTCACATTCACACTTGAATTAATTAGTCCTGGTTCATTGTAAACCCCAGGTAAATGGAATCCTGGGTTATCTTGCTTCACTTTTCACTGTTCATAATTTACCCATGGTTAACAATTAATCCCTGGTGTTCATAAACTGTCGTTTCACACTGTACATTCCTAAACCCTGCATTAACGTCTTTATTTGCAGTGTCAGTGTCATGGACTGGATGAACACAGTACACAATATGGTTACGTAAAGGATTGCGCATCCTCATAATATTGTCGACTGTATTATCAAGTTTATCCTGAATTTTGGACTATAAAGGTTTATAGAGGAGTTTTACTCAAAGCTGAAACGACTACCGGTACTGTTTAACGAGCTGTGTTTCCGTGACTATCCAAAGCATGTGAATATGAGGCACGCGATTGGCTGTCTGTTGCTAAGCATCTATACATAACATTCTCACACCGCATCATTTCACACTGTACACCCAGTGGGGTTTCATAACAACGGGTAAAAAGTTGTGCTAACATTGTTTCTAAATTATAAGCGTGAAACGTTCCTTTACCCGTGGTTAAAAGTGTGTTTTTTTCATTTATCCTTCTTCTACAGGTCATTGAGGATACCCCAGTAATGGCAGGAAGTTTTATGGGCCGATCACTACTTCAGGCACCATCATCGCCGTCTGTGAAACCTCCAGTTGTCTTCAACAACACAGCGGGGCAACCCTGCATCTTGCTGTGGGCCGACACTCTCCTCGCAAGCTTCCTTGGAAAAGAAATTGATCTGGGAAAAGACATTTTTAATGGTTCTGCAGCTCCTGACCTGACTGGTTCAGTTTGCAATGAAACACTGTCAAGGTCAGAAGCATTATCAAGCAGTAATCAGTATACATTTCAACATCGTTCACTGCTGTTTCTTAAAAGTATAAAAATCTTTTGTTTTTCAGACTCGTCCTGAATTACCAAAATGTTCTGGATTTCCAATCCCTCCAGCTTATGTGAGTATTTAACACATAATCCGTCACTGACATGCATCATTTGTGGTTTTGACGAACAGGATTCACTGCCGCTGTTGGATATGATGTGCATGCTCTCTAAAAGAGAATAATTGGACTTTTTTAATACTTCCTTAAAGCTTCTCTATGCGCAAGATCTTCTTTCCTGTGTCTGCTCGCAACTGGACGGTCATGGAGCAGGTGGTGCTGGAGTATGACGGACAGAGGGCGATCTTTAACGCCAGTGCTGGTATCTACGCTCCTGCTGAGTATTCTTTCCATTGCCAGAACGTAAGCAGTGTTCAGAGCCCCCTGCTGGTGCCTCGCAATGCTACGGACAACGCCACCCAATGGAAGCTGACCTTCACTGATTTTCAGGTACTACTATGGTTTTCAGGTGCATGACTGGTGCGGAGACCTGGAGGGCAAAACATTCATAGAATAGGCCTGTCAATTTTACATCTGTTTCAAGCCACGAATATTTAGATCACCTCATGCAAGTTTTGGGCACTTATAATCCATATACAGCACCTGCTGCAGTTTCATTCACTAAAAACAGCAGGACATTCTAAAATGCGGGTAACACTTTACAAAAAGTTTCATTAGTTGATGTATTAACTAACATGAACTAACAATGAGCAATACATTTGTTACCGTATTTATTAATCTTTGTTAATGTTAGTTAATAAAAATAAAGCTGTTCATGTTAGTTCACAGTGTATTAACTAATGTTAACACATACAACCTTTGATTTTAATAATGTATTAGTACATTTTAAAAATTAATATTAACTAAGATTAATAAATGCTGTAGAAGTATTGTTCATTCTTAGCTCATGTTAACTAAAACAGTGTTATTAAAAGATCGAATTCAGTAATGCGCCTCATTGATTATCCATACTAAATATAGGCGAACCCAGAATATGAACGCAACACACTAAATAGGTAAGCGTTTTCTTTATAATGGTTTTCTATGGAAAACCGCTTAATGAGAAACTGCACGTTGCGTTTATATTTGGGGTTTATCTTTTGTGCTCATTCAATAAGGTGTATATTTGAAAGTGGTCTTTTAATGTCACTGTCTTATTACATTTGTATTTTGTACAAACCTGGTAAAAAACGTTTTACCCTCCAGATGGGCGTTCCTACAAGGATGTGACGTTACGTGAAAATTATGAATTGCAGTGCACAAAAAAGACCTCCCCATAATGCAGCTGATTGATGCATCATTTGTTTCCAACAGATACAAGGTTTCAACGTTACTGGTGAAATGTTCTCGTATGCCAGCGATTGTGCAGGGTTCTTCACTCCGGGGATTTGGATGGGCCTGCTGACCTCTCTGCTCATGGTGCTCATTCTTACCTACGGCCTGCACATGATCATGCAGATTCACACCATGGACCGCTTTGATGATCCAAAAGGCCCAGCGATTTCAGTGCCTCTGAGTGAATGAGCTGTGATGTTGTCAAACTGTAAAAATATCTGAAATTTCTGGATCTAGCATGATTATTTAAATGTCTATGTTTATTCAAAGGCAAAACTGAATGTGTCTTGTAGAAAGTGCTGAAATTATTTTCACATCTCCTTTACTCAATAAACTTTGATAATACTTTACAATAAGGTTCAATACGTTAACTAAGAGTTTTATGCAATTGCTAACATGAAATAACATTGAGCGTTTAAAAAAAAAAATCATTGTTAATTTCTAATTAATAAATATATATAAACTTTTCAAGTTGTATACATTAACATTTATTTATAAATGTGTAATGAATATAAAAGTGATATAGATTACTAAACGCTGTAAAATTGTTCGTTTACTTATTATCATTAGTTACCCAATACATTAACTAATATGTAATCAATAAATGTAACCTTTTGTAAAGTCTTACCAAGGTTTCACATACACATTTCAGTACACATACAGTGCACGTTTCTCTGTCTAGTGGTAAACTAGTCTTATGAACGCAATTACATTTTTTGCATTACAGCAACTTGCACTGTTATCTTTAGGACTACTGTTTTTTTTTCTTAATCTCATCTTTTAAAACTGGTGGTTTATTTCTCACATTGTACTAGATTTGTATGTTTATGTAGTTGTACATTTAAGATTTGCCAATATTGAATTATGCCAAATATGCAAATTAAGTGCCTAAGATGAACCGATCACTGTTTGGACAATGAAAAGTGCTAAATCATAAAAACAAGCCATTAAGCTAAATTGTTTTATTGGCCATTAGACTGACTAATAAAAGTGCAAAAAGTACCCAATATTCATGTATTTTTAATGGACACCATGTTTGAAAGATATAAGAAGACTAAAATTGAAAAAATATAAAAATGTAAAGTTTTATAAAAGATTAATGCAATATACCAGAATTTTGCTGTATCCTGTGTAACTTGATGTAAATTTAATTGAAGTGACTATTTAATAAGCTCATAGTAGGACTCATGTTTAGTGTAACACACTTATTTTACGTGTTTTGTTGGGCATCGTCATAAAACAGACTGCACATTTGAATTAATATCCAACATGGTTTTCTTCAGCAGATTTACTATGTTATGATCGTTTCTGTCTCTAGATGAAAGATTAAACTACTACAAAACATTGAATATGTTGACAATGTGAATGTTTATTGACAGCAATGTATGATACAGAAAGCAGCTGTTTTGTTACTATGCTGGTTGAATTTTTCATAAAGCAATTGGTCATGCAAAAAGTAATTTTACAACATTACACATTTGTCACAAACAGCCATTTTGCCAAATCTAATAAATTAAGGGAACACTTGTCAAATAAGGTATTTGCTCTTGATCATTTGTACCTGGCTATCGTCACTTAAGCATTAAGTTCAAATAAAGTTGAATCCAAGTCTTCTGTTTTGATTGTGGAGCTTTTATTTTGAGATCATCCAGGCCCCCAGACAGCTCAGTGAAATACAGATTTGTAAGACACATGAGATGGATTTAGATTTGATTATGTTGTATTACAGCATTTATAATATGAAAAGGCCAAGCCAGTGTATTCCTAGTTTATAATGAAAAATTAAGCAGAACCATGGTTTAAACGCATTACAAGAGCCAATTGCTACAATAAAATCTTTCAAATTAAAAGTAGAAAACCACTAGTTAAACAGCCTATTATATAAAAAAAACAGCACTCCTTTGGGGGAAATAATTCTACAAGTTGTTGAAACTGAATTGCTATTTTACCAATTGTACATCAGAAATAATGCTTGATAGCACATAGATAAAATAAAATGGCATTTAACATTGCAGAAATCTCTTTTTATCTTCATTAGATCCGAGTCTGTAATCGAGACTAATAGCAAAGCATTTGTAATGAAATTTGAACCAGATTCTGCACAACATTGAACAAAAACCCAAAGAGAATGAAGAGACGCTGAGAACTTCAGTAAGATTAATCAAACCTTTCAGTTTAAAATCTGCACTGCAAATCACACTCTGCAATACTTTTACTAGAAGGTTAACTCAAACACAATTGCTATTTTATCCAAAGGAAAAGTGAGAAAATTGGATAGACTAAAACAAAGCCTCAAGCAATTCAGACAGACATTTATCTTTTGTCAATAATTATTTATGCTTAATGTAGCCCTCCACAAAATTAGTGAGGAAAGGGAGATTCAGTGCATATTTAAATGAAGAGTGATAAGTGCAACACTGCTTCAAAAATTAGAAAGGACAATCAAACACTTTATAAAAGTGAAATCAACCTGTCTCCTGTGAAGACAGATCTGTTTCATGAATGCAGAATGGGGTAAAGTTAGCTACAGCTAGAAATGGGTAGTCAGATTGAGCTTGGTTTTTCAAAATAATATGTCCGATTATGGATTATGCTGTGAGAAGTCACTCAGCCTCTTGATGGCTCCTGGCAAGCACTCGTATAAACGATAAATATTTGCAGGATGCTTCACTTGGATTTTCTTCATGAAAGCCTTAAATTAGCCCTGGAAAAGAATATGATAAAAAAAATGACAGAATAATGCATGCTTTTACTGCGATCAAGACAAGAAAGAACAAAGATATTTTTAAGGTCCCAGTAATCAGGCTCAGGTAAAAGCTAAAGTGTCTAGAAGATACTCATGCATACCGTCCTTTACTCATCAACAGCCCTAAGCATGTATGAATATGCTAAATTCACGGTCATGAGGAAGAACTTATACTTCTGATGTCAGAAACCCATCCATCCCAAAATATAACCCACAGTGATGCTTGTACGATGTTCAAAAACGTTGGCCATCCACTCCTGGTGAGGTAACAAGTAGAACGCAGGAGAAACCTTTGACTTTGTAACACATTAAAGAGAAAGTTGCATAGTTCCCATTGTCCTTACCATGTATGTGAGGGTGTTATAACTCTCCCTCTTCAGTTCTAGTCGCCACCTTTTCAGAATACTCATGTTTTGACCTGCAATCCAAAAGTCCAGTAATGGTCTGTATGTGCATAACTAAATATCTGTGTATATTAAACTTCAGTCCATCACCCACTTACAAGACCTCATGCCATAGTCAAACACAAAAAAACTATGGAAGCTTGTTTCTGCCATAGAATAATAATAAAAATAAATAAAAAAATAAAAATATATATATATATACACAGTATGTGTATATATATATATATATATATATTATGCCTCTTTATCTCACAACTATAAACTCACAAGATATAAACTCACAATTCTAAGAAAAAAAATGGCAGAACTATGAGATATAAATTGTAATTGCGAGAAAAAATTATGAGAAAAAGAAAACTATTCTGTGAAGGAAACAAGCTTCCATAGAAAAGCCTTACACCAAAAAAAAAACCCCAAAAAACAATTTCAACAAGAATTTTTCATGGGAACCTTTTTTGATGAGAATTTTTGCACAATGAAGCATTTTGTGGATTGATATATTGTTGCATATATATTTGTTGAATTACCTGCTCAACAGCATTCTGCCAAAATGGATTTAATCTTATCTAATATCTTATATAAAAACCATGAACCGAAACAATAAATTCTGAGATAAATCACATCATTATATATTTTGATTTGAAGCAAAAAAAGGATAAAAGTACCAGACCAGTGTGCACTTAATTACTCATGAGAAAATGAACTACTCATGAAGCACTGTGGCTGTGAATGACAAAGATATGACAACAAAGATAATTTAAAACTACTGACTTGAAGCCTGTTTACACCTGGTCACTTTGTGTTTTCTAGTGAAAAGACCAGGCCCGTGTCTGAAATCGCAAGGGAACTTGAAAGGGACTTTGTGTACACTCAACGGCTAGAGAATACCCATAATGCACTGTGAGGGTCACGCGGAATGAATTCCCGCATCTCACCCGCAACTGAATCATCCATCTATTTTCCAAACCGCTGGTCCAATGTGGCTACAGCGTAATAATACGTTTAAGTACGGTTTATACATGCTAGTCTCCAGAGTTCAGAGACAGAGTTCAAGATACATCTTTTCAGTAGCCTAAGCCAGTGGTTTTCAAACCTGTCCTGGAGGACCCCCAACACTGCACGTTTTCTTTGTCTCCCGAATCAAACACAACTGATTCAACTCATCAGCTCATTAACCCATGTGATAATGAGCTGATGAGTTGAATCAGGTGTGTTTGATTAGGGAGACAAAGAAAAGGTGCAGTGTTGGGGGTCCTCCAGGACAGGTTTGAAAACCACTGGCCTAAGCTACTACTGGAGCTGCCAGTTTGCTAAGTTTCAAATGATTATTAAACAGCAAGCACAAACTATGTAAAAGCAGCAGCCCTTCCGGCACAGGAGCTTTCACACTGGGCTCGTTTGCTGCGGTCCGAGCTCGGGCGCGATTGTTCCCGGCGCCACCGCAGCGTTGGTCTGGTTTCACACTCAACTTTATTCTACTTTATTTATTTAACCCTGGAGCGTTTGCGTGCATATTACGTCATCGCAAACGTCAACGGTGCATGATAAAAAACAGAACACGGGTCAATATATATATTTTTTTTTTATTAATTCTGTGCTATTATGTGCAGCTGAGTGAACAACACATGTTAACTGTGTGTGTGTGACGCATAAGTTGGCTTTCTGATGCTTGCAAATGGACTCTTTTGAGGAGACAGTGGATTTCCTTTAATTTGTTGCCCTGATTTCACGTGCTATGCACGAATACACTGCAGGCTCAATCTCGCTCGTGTAAATCATCAAAACGATCATCCCTTACATGTGCTTTATTTAACCAAATACATCATAATCAGCTAAAACGCATGCACAGGTCACTTTACTTCCTGAACAAATGCGCACCCGAGTCTGTGTTGCTTTCACATTCATGCGAACCGCGGCCCGGTTCTAGACCACCTCCAGACTCAGACACCTCATCCAGGTAGTCTCGGCTTCGGTACCCCAGTGCGCACCAGGGTCCACATGACAGCGTTCACATTTGCGATTTTTCATGCGAACCGTGCCCCGTTCCGAACTAAACTGCCAGTGTGAAAGCACCCTAAGGGTGTATTCACACCAGCCTTGTTTGGTTCAATTGAATCGAACTCTAG